TATGTAGGAAGAGGAAATTAGAGAGGATGCAGGATGAACTATTAACTGGGTAAATGGGTACTGGTTGGATGCAGTTGCGGAGCTATTTGGTAGTCAGTAGTTCTGTGGTGAATATTACTCCCTTGATGTTGTACTGGGTTTTGCAGTGGGTGTAGAATCAACTCTACTTGAGAGAAACTGTGAGGAGTCTTGGGGAAAAATGGGGAGTTTATTTACATCAATTCCAATTTGTTGGTTTAAGTTTTAAATTGATTTTACCGGGATGTATAGCTCATTCTTTTATTATATCATAGAAACAGTTAAGCAGGAATAAAGTCAAGAGCAGCCGGAGCCTGGCCAGGAGTCGAAATGTGTGCGGAACTACCATTGGTCTTCGATGGGTTGATAATTAGTAATCCCTTTTTTCAGTTGCTATGTTTACAGGCATACTAGAATTAGGTACTGATATGGAGGATCTTATTGTAGTTAAGGGAACAATATGGGTTGTTATGCATATTCTTGGATGGGATAGAAGGATGTATATCGATGAGATTATAGATGAATAAAAAATAGATATGTGATGTTTTATTTTTTTTTAAATGAGCGGGTTGTAATTAGGAACTCTATTTGATGTTGGGATGATTGCCATTAATATGAGATAAATGAAAGAATACTTTTGAAATGTAGGATGAATGAAAAAGATAATGAATTTTGAATAACTAAAAAAAAAGAAAAAGAGAGGGTAGGATAAAGATAAATAGGTAGGGCGTCAAACAGACTTTTTTGGGGATAGAGGGACTTGAACCCTCACGACTTTTTTAAGTCGACGGATTTTCATCTTACTATAAATTTCATTGTTGTCGCTCTTGACATGTAGAATGGGACTCTATCTTTATTTTCGTCCGATTAATCAGTTCTTGAAAAGATCTATCAAACTATGGAGTGAATGGTTTGATCAATGAATATTCGATTTTTTCTTCAACTTTGAATTGATTCACAACAAAACAATTCTTTTTTTTTTCATATAAAAAAAAAAAAAAAATCCATATTCGGGTCACCATTTTTGAGTTGGATAAAAATGTGGGTTGTTACACTTTCCGTTTCTCATTTTTCTCGATTTTTTGACTGTCGTCTTCTTCATTTTTTTAGTGCAGGTTAGCCGAAGAGAAACCCCGATCGCAAGAAAGGAACGGCGGAGCCGCCATACTGGGAAACTCCTCTGCCGGTAGAGTCTCGGTTTTTCCCTTTTCCGGCCGACAGAGGCCCCATAATCCTGTTTTTTGCAGGTTTTCATGCAAAATCGGCCAAAACCAGCAAAAAATGGCCAGACTGAGAGGAAGTACAGCCGTAGGCAGTGGAGCTGGCACTAGAGCATGGCGTCGACACTGTGGTGGAACCCTAAACTGGACAGAAAAATTTAAAAATGTTTATTTTAACTTTTTTGGGGTATTTTGGAATACGTAACGCTTGTTTTTTATTTTCGTAGAAAAAATTTAGAAAATTCGAGAATCGTCAAAAGGCGCAGGAAAAAAGACAGTATTTCGAATACCGATCTGGAGTAAGAATCATTCATCCTTTTTTTTTTCATTATGGTAAATTAAAATTTAACAACTAATAATAATGTAATTTGCAAAAAATTAGAAAGTCTTAAAATTAATTATACGTTTCAAGTGGAGACGGAACCCGTCAATGTATAATTGCCCCAATCTTATTGTTTATTTTCTCTTATGCTACTTAGAATGCTTATTGTTGTATCATATGTGTTACTAATATTATATTTAAGAAAAAACACAATTAAATTTTGCTTAGACTATTTTATCACTAAACTTTCAATCTATCTTTGGTACTATTTTTATATTAAAAAACACACTTAGATTAAGATTTTGAAATGAATGGAAATTAATACTAAACTAAATTTGCCTTATAAATAAAATTTTATCAATTTTTAAAAATTTTCTTTCCAAACATAAGATTAGATTCCCCATAATAAAAAAAATACAATGGATTAGTTATAATTGAATATCTACTCTATACACGTCTAAATTAATTAAAGTAGAGCACATTATTCATTATATTAAATAAATTAAAATAAATATTTTTTAAATAAGATCATCCATGTATAATTAAGTAAGAAAATTTAGTGATGTTTTTAAAAAAAGGAAGTGCAAATTTTGTTTATTCATATACATATATGCACATATAGTATATTGTGTGATTCACATGATAATATCATATTATATAGGGCGATGGATGCTTATCCTACTATGAAGAGACTTTCTTTACCTTCTCTTGACATCACCATCATCTATCATGCGGCTTCAATCCAACTCTCCCTTGTCACAATGTTAAAACAATTGCCTTTTAAACTATATCTTCTATCATGGCCATGAAAAAGAAATTGTTTTCTATTTGCTTGCTTAAGTTTTGATGGATGAGCATGTTTTTTTTTTATTTTTTTATTTTATGAAAGATAGAGTATAAGATTAAGTTAGGTATAAGTTTTTTACTTCATTATAAATACGAACTCTTAGGTAAGCTGTAATGGTCATGGAAATTCAAAAGTAAATATATATAATAATCTGGGTGCAGAAGCGAAATAAAAAATTAAAATTAATATCCCTTACACAATAACTTAAAAGTACTAAATAATATCACGAAATAAGTTATCTAAAAGAAGTACGAGAAATTGAAAAAATTAAGAAAACTATAAAATATCTAGCATTTACTCGTCGTCTTTTTGTGGATCGGGCTCGAGAACCAGGTCCTCCTGATCTAAAATGGTTAAATAAGGAATGAGGTATACTAGTTTAGTAAGAACATCACACATCATTACCGTCACAGAAGCAAATGTTGGTAGAAAACTGAAAACAACCAATGGAGCACAAATTTTAAACAAATTCATTTATCAATAATTAAACCATTTATCGTTCACTTACCGCAGTGAGATTTATAAAAACAAACTATGGAAACAATAACATTATAAATATCATAAATTCATATATAATCTGTAACATAGCACATATACTTTTATACTCAAATCATCAAACAATAATTGCCATTTTTTATCAACCTACTAGTATCCATGGGGATCCATAGGGGTTCCCGCTACACATGAACCATTCCCCTTAACAATCTTAATTTCAGGGCCGTCCCCATACCCCATCCAGTATGAACGCCAAAATAATAAACCTCAATACCCCGTCTGTTATGAGGGTGAAGCGGGCCGTCTCCATACCCCGTCCAGTATGAGCGCCAAATGACCAAGTCTGCATACCCCGTCCGGTATGAGACAACGTTCACGGTAGGGTTCCCTATGAACCCAGTCTGTCCACTATCTCCCAGAATATCTAGTGAGGCTGTTATCATATCCATTTATCAAATCACATCTCATTCCTATTTGTCCTTAGTCTCCGTTACCAACTCAAACATAAATACATAAATAAGTAACGTGCATCCAACAAAGCAGGCATATCATAGATTCCCAAAATCAAACAGTAGTGAAGCAAACAGTGATTCATGCATTTGAAACCATATAATAGATAAACCAGATACCATAATGCATTTAAACTGTAAAATAAATCAAGTAGGAATCGACAGAGAATAATGTTCGGTTCGGGCTCTATTAGCAATCTTAATTAATTATGCATATCTATTTAATTTGTATAAAATACAATATTATTATTTATTCAAACTTCAATTTCATGATAGGAAATAGGGTGAGAGGTCCTTACTTGATTGGCGTCGAAAACTAGATTTTTACTACACTTACGGGCGGTCCTCAAGTTCCCTAAATTTTTTCTCGAAAACTGAAACGCACTTACGGTACCTACACATGTCCCAAATAACCCAAAATATCATACCCATGGCCTACTTGGTTAATTTCAAAATTCCGGCATGGTGGCTCCGCCGTGCTCCGACGAGAGCGGCGGCGATCCGCCTCGGGTTGGCTGTTTTCGACCGAATTCAGCCAAACTTGCATCGGTTCCTGTGAGAAAATACACTTAAGGCCCTCGGTGGGCCGAAAGAACACAAAAAATCGAAACTTACCGGCGGTGGGGCTCTCTGGTGCGGCGGCTCCTCCAGCTCACGTCGCGGTTGGTGTTTTGCTCCGGTCAACCTGTAGAGGAGGAAACAGTGATCACAACGGTGGAAAAATCACATCGAACAGGAATCAGAAAATGTCTCATCGGAGGCAAAAATTGAGACACCCAGCGACAGCCGCGCTGGGCTTCAGCGATATTTTTCGGCCAATTGGCCAGTGCTTTCGCTCTGATTTGGCCATAGGTGGGTTTAGAATCAAATTCTGAGCAAGTGATAGAATTTTTACCTCGTTTGGCGGCCGAAAATTGCTCCGGTACGGCGGCGGGTGGCGGCGGTCGGCTCCTTGATGGCTGGGCTGTCTTCTCCGGTGAGGGGCTCTAGCGGCTAGGGTTAGGGTTTAGGTGTAGATGAGGTTATGTATACCCATCCGCTTTTGATATGAGCCGTCCATCGTTTTTAATCTGGACCATCCATCGCAATTCAATCTGGGTCGTCCGTGCGAGATTCAATCTGAACCGTCCGTGCTCGATGCAATCTGGGCTGTCCGTGCAAGTTTTAGATCTGGGTCGTTCGTGCGTGCGGGAACGGATCTCAGCCGTTAGATCGCGCGCACGCGGATCGCCCACGTGGCTCCCTCCTGCATGGCCTCCCGCGTCAGCGTCTCTACCACCTAGCATGTCCTGGTTGGCCAGAGCTGCTGACCGGGTAGCTGACGTAGCACAACTTTTTTAAATTATGTTTTGACTCCCAATTTCTGATTTTTCTTTTAAAAATATCCCCCAAACCCAAATTTTCATCCATTTTTTCCAAAATTATTTTTAATTAAATCCATAAATAATTTTTACCCCTTATTATTATTATTATTATCATTATTTTCATTAAAATAAATTAAACTAAATTAAATTCAATATAAAATTACATAAATAATAATTATATTCATATAACAATAACAATAATAAAAAAATAAAAAAAAGGGTTGGGTGTTACAACTCTCCCTCCCTTAAAGAAATTTGGTCCCTCAAATTTGTCTCTTACTCTTGATCGAACAACTGGGGGTACTGGGCTCTAAAGTATGATTATAGCTCTCATGTAGCCTCTGTTGATGTGTGATTCTGCCATACGACCTTTACAAATGATATTTTTCGGTTACAGAGTAATCTACTCTTTCGATCCGTAATGCCGACTGATACTTCCTCGTAGGATAAGTCCTTTTGGAGTGGGATAGATTCGTGAGCCAAGACGTGAGAGGGGTCCGGGTTTTACTTGCGCAGCATGGACACATGAAACACATTGTGGACCTTGAAAAGCTTTGGAGGTAGTGCTAGTCTGTAGGCGGCGGTACCAATCCTGTCTAAGACTTCAAATGGTTCAATTGGACCTTGGAAAGCTTTGGAGGTAGTGCTAGTTTGTAGGCGGCGGTACCAATCCTGTCTAAGACTTCAAATGGTTCAATAAATTGGAGGTTTAGTTTTTCCCTCCTGTCAAACCTACTAATTCCCTTGAAAGTAGTACCTTAAGGAACACCCGGTCGCCTTTCTCAAACGCTAAATCTCTCCTCCGGGTGTTCGCATAACTCTTCTGTCTGCTTTGAGCCGTCTGAATATTCCTCCTGATCTTAACTATCTTAGATGTAGTTTCCTCTACCAGTTTCAGGCCGAACAATTTTCTATCGTTCACTTCTTCCAAACAAATCGGCGATCTGCATGGGCGCCCATATAACGCCTCATACGGAGCCATGCCAATGCTTGCTTGGTAGCTGTTGTTGTAGGCAAACTCTATCAGGGGCAGATGGTCGTCCCAATAGGCCCCAGAGTCAAGGACACAAACTCGAAGCATATCTTCAAGTGTACGGATTGTCTTTTCTGATTGTCCATCAGTTTGAGGGTAGAAGGCAGTACTGAGGGATAGCTTTGTTCCCATTGCTTGCTGAAAGCTATTCCAAAACCGAGAAGTGAACTTGGAGTCCATGTCGGACACCACTGTCACTGGGACTCCATACAATCTGACTATTTTCTGGATATATATTCTTGCCAACTTGTCCAAGGGATCGGTCATCCTGATGGCTAAAAAGTGGGAAGACTTAGTAAGCCGGTCAACAATTACCCAGATGGCGTCATGTCCTGAGCGTGCCTTAGGTAACCCTGTCATGAAGTCCATGGTGATATGTTCCCACTTCCGCTCTGGGATCGGTAAAGGCTGAAGTAACCCGCCTGGGCGCTGATGCTCTGCCTTGACCTGCTGACATACCAAGTATTTAGACATAAAGTCAGCTATGTCCCTTTTCATCCCATTCCACCAAAACTGGAGTCGCATGCTTTGGTATATTTTGGTGCTTCCGGGATGCATGACAAACTTTGAGCTATGGGCCTCTGTCATGATGTCTCTCTTTAACTCATTGTCACTTGGAACACACATCACGTTCTGAAATCGGAGTAATCCATCGGCGGAGACTCAGAATTCTGAGCTAACTCCCTGTTCTGCATTGTTCTTGAGGGCTACTAGGGCGG